CTGACTTGTATCAACTGACCAGTCAACCACAGTTGCTGCGTTCCGGATTCCTTGTATATCCGCTTTCCAAATGTTTGGACGAGCAGATTTTGGCCTGTGCATGAGAGAATGAATCCTAAACGTAAAAGCAATGACTATGTGGTCACTGCTGCCAAGCGGCGGAAGGCACCTAATGTTACCAACGTCCTCCTTCTGGTGTGTCAATACCAAGTCTAGAGTAGATGGATCATGTTCAGGGTGATACCGTGTTGGTGCATGCATATGTTGCACGAGTGCACATTCAAGCACTGTCAATGTGAGCTCCCTATTGAAACAGGTATACAAACTAGTGGAGTTTAATTCCCCCCAATTAATATGTGGAGCGTTAAAGTCGCCAACAATCAGACACCTATTTCTACTACCCCACGCCCTCAAGTGATTTAGAACGAAGTCATCAGCTTGGCTAGCAGGACTTCTGTAGATAACTCCGATCGTTAAAGTGCCTTTGTTTAAGTTAATGATGCAACTTGCGGCTTCACTGGTGCCGCTGTCATGAGCTTCTGACAACGTTGACCTGATCCCTATGTCATCCCGGATGTAAAGAGCAACCCCCCCACCTTTCCGACTACTTACTCTGTCTGCTCGTATGCAGATATACCCAGGTATGAGTGGAGTTAAGTCTACACCCACTAACAACCACGTCTCAGTGATAGCAATTACATCAGGTTGTAGTCTTTCAGATAACTCTCCTAATTCGGCGAGCTTATTCCTAAGACTACATGCGTTCGTATAGCACACCGAAACACCTACGTGTTCACCCGGCTTATGAAGAGAGGTCTCGGCAGCATCGGTTTCCGAGACCTCACCACCCGAAAACCCAATAGTTTGAGGTCCTTCTCGCCTTTCTCTAGCCTGGCCTTTAGTTCAGCCACGGCTTCTCTTCTTTTGATTCTATCTTCCAAAGGCCAATCAGGCCTTATTTTTAGACTTTTGTCGTTGACTTTGAACGCGTTGTCGAGGATGGTCCTCCTCTCTGTTTCGTTCCCTAAAACTACCTTAAGTAGTCGTCGAGGAGTTCCTGTAGCATCAGGGTTTCGTTTTCCGATCCTGATAGCCTTTCGTACGTGTACTCCAGTTGTTTTTTCGGGAAGTATTTCCCGGAATATGGAGCTGATCGCCTTCAGATCATCTGCATGTCGGGCAGCTGGATCTGTGTTCTTAGATTCCTCCAAGTTCCAGATGATAATACTGTAACTAGAGTCCGTGGGTTTCTGAGTTTTGCTGGAACTAACAGTCGTCGAGACCTTGTTGGTAAACTCGGCTACTGTTTCTTTCCTAGTTTTGTTTTGCTTCTTACCTTTCGGCAGCAACCAAGTGGAGTCGGTTTCTCCCACTCTGTTTTCGCCGCGACTAGAAGCCATTCGTGCACTAGACACGCTGCGCTTTGGCGTTGCTATTTCACAGGCTGGTTTTGCCATGCTGGCACTACTTGCCCTTCTGGATTTCCGTTGCCTTTTGCGCTTTGCAGCAACAGATGTTTGGGCATTTTGTGCTTCTTTCGCTTCTGAGACTTCAGGAGGTGATGCATCCTGAATCTTACAACTATGTCCTGAACCGCCATCCTTGGCGAAGGTTTCTGGTACAGGCTTTTCAACTATGTCTTTCGACAATTTCTTGGACATCAAGAGTCCTACTGCCTCTTGGATGAGGACATCTAACGGGTTGCTGCAAAATTTGCACAGCCATGGAGATGATGGCTTGCAACATCTCTTATAGGCTACTGGTGTTAAACCAGTGCAAACTTTGTGGAACCAAAGGCTGCAGTTGTCACACTGCATCCCATCATCCACCGGAAAGTGGCAGTCCGGTCGACCACAATTGTTAGTTGGGGCCATAATTTTAATTTGTTACAACTATACAGTTATATATACGTGAAAACAGTGAGGTTAATGCCAAACAAATACACACTTATATATACGTGTGACAGCTAGGTAAATACCAACCAAAACACAAAATGTGAATAAAATAAACAACACTTCAACTAAATAAATCAGTTAAAGTGAACTAAAAGCTTCTGATGTGGTTTAAACAACAAAAGCAGAATTTACTTCACAACGTTAAAAATGCCACTCTCCTTTTTCAAACCCCTCTATGTTTTGGTTGAATTATTATAATTATGTCATCGTGAAATACTAATACTACTATTACAAAAAGTTAAAACACAACACTGAGGGGCAGTTTAATTGGCCTACAGCCACGCTCAACCTGGCGAACATCCAACACCTCCCTGAATCGGCTATACACACAGGCCCTCCGTCCCTAACTGAGGTTACTAAAGCTGTCACTAGTCTGAAACGAGTCAAACCAGCAGGACCTGATGGAATGACTCCAGAGGTATTTAAGTACGGTGGAGACAGTTTACTGTCTGCATTAACTGAGGCACTAGGCAGCGTCTGGGAATCAGAGGAAGTCCCGTCGGGTTGGTGTAAGTCACTGATTATCCCCATATACAAGAAGGGAGACAAGTCTTCCTGTGATAATCACAGAGGGATTAGCTTGACTAATATAGTATCTAAAGTTCTAGGCTCAATAATATTGCGTAGACTAAGTGGTGCTCGGGAAGCACAAACACGAGATAACTTGAAATGCTTTAGACCAGGAATGGTGTGTATTGAATATAACTTCACCGTTCGACAGATTCTAGAGCATAGTCCTTCTCACCGGCGTGGACCAATGATTATAATTCTTGATCGAAATCTGCATTCGATTCTATTGACCGAGAGCTGCCATGGCAATGCTTGGCTGTAAATGGAATGCCGAGAAAAAACATTCCACTCAAATTGATGTAGCCAGGTGAGATCATACAGCGAGTTGTCATCTGAGAACTGTGATGACAACCAATAATGAGTGTCCGTCAGGGATGTTCACTGTCCCCGTTTCTGTTTAATTTCATCACAGAGTTACTAATGGAATTAACCCTGACTGACTTCAGCGAGTCAGCGATTGACCTTTAACATCAAGGAATAATCTCGTTAACTTAGAATATGCAGATGATATAGTCCTGCTCCTAGGTGAAGACGCCAACAAAATGCAGTCCTCCCAACACCTTGACCATCAGTCTTCGAATATTTGGTGTGCGATTCGCTCCTGCTGTCAAATGTAAGATGATGACTGAACGACAATGACTAATTCCTAGCTTAAAGATAGGTAGTGAAGTGGTGGCTGAGTGTGTTGACCACTTCAGTTATTCAGGGTGTTGCATCAGCATCATCAGCAGGTTGATCACTACAGCAGCTGTTTGCTACGACTTCCTGACTGGTTCTGGTCCGCGGGATTGTGAGGACCAGTGGCTAGAGGCAACTGGTGTCATAGTTCAAAATCGTTCTCAGTGATACAGGTGTACTCACTCTTAACGATTTGTAACATCCTATAAAATTCTATCGTTCTTCCATATTACTATTCTGTTTGCCTCATATTTCTGTTTAAAATCCTTCCCTTCTCCCTTCTCTTTCTTTTGTGTATCACATTGAGTGTGGTAACCCGAACTGCTGGACATCGGTGGAAATATCTACGTTGAAACCAGTCTGTCAGTGATACAAAACCGATACTTGGGCTTCATCGCATCCCACTCAAAATTTGCGTAGCTATTTTCAGTTAAGTGTTAAGTAGTCGAACCAGGAGGCTAAATAATCGTCCAGAAAATATTGATTAATGAAACCAAACAAAAAGGATAACATCGCAAGAGAATGGCTACGGACCAGATCAATTGAAAGAAAGTATGAAGACCCTTAGCGAAAGTGAGAGTAGTAATGCAAATAATAGGGAATTCGAAGTCTTGATACTACAAACAAGAGTAAATTGATATTACAAACCTTGGGCACTGTGATAGTGTAATTCTATCATAAAGTGAATTTGTTTGATAAAATCACACGGTGATACAGTACTATTTACCAATGACGTTTCAAGCACAATTTACTTCTCATAATCACACCAAGGCACTCACACAACTCCCAAACTTCGTTTATAGAATTCCATTACTTCCTACCCCTTCACTTGATTGGTAGTAATATTTTCCATATCTCTGGTGTTGGTGGTGAGTCATTCCTGTTGTGTGTTTGTAGCGACAGAAGCCAAGAGCCAGGCAACAGATCGTTTATTAAGGAAATTAACACATATTTATAGATTTTCATATACATTATTATAGATTATTGTTAGCAAACAATCACAGTCTTCTGATTGGTTGTTTCTCACTAAAAGTTAATCTTTCATCTCTTTGCGGCTGTTTCTTGAGTGTCAGGTCATCTATCTGCTAACTGTATCCACCTACGCAAAGTCTGCTGTCAGTCTTTGTTCTTGTTTTCACATGACTAATATTTGGGACATAAACATTGATGTAAATTACTGTCTACCAATTTGGCTAGCACCTAGCTCTCACCACAGTTGAGCGTAGATTCGATGAACAAAGATTCAGTTATCTTTCCACCTAATAACATTACTTTTCAAAATTATAACTCTGTCCCGCCCTATCATGTACTAGTGCATGTATTGGAATTGCTGAGTTTCCTTCTATTTGGAATCTAAGAGAATGATAATAATCATTTTATATGAAATAAACAAGTTACCCTTGCACGACAATATTAGCACCTGGATTTTGTTGTTAGTAGCTGCCAGATTGTATTAAGGTTCAGTCAGATGTGGAAAATGGAATGGCAATCAGTAACCTTTTGAATCTGAATTTAACTATCACACTCACAGTGCGACGGTCGACGACACCATTCGTATACTCAGGAAGAGTTGTTTGAATTCGACAGTGTTCGGATGTCAAACACAGTGGCTGGGGCCGAAAACCTAGACAGATGAGCCACCTTTCCTTGAATTCAGAAAACTCAAAAACAATCTATTAGTGTATGATATGCTTATATGAATTTTAGGGAGCAGACATTCCTGTATGTATGTGAATACTATTTGGGCTATTTTATTCTTGTATTTTATCGAATAACTTTCAATTTATTTTTATAACAGGAAACTCCTGCGAACTCCGAGACGAACAATGATAAATCCGTTGGCGAAATCAACAGTCATGGAGAAAATCAAGTGAATGATGATAAAGTGGTGGGACAGCATGAAAAAAGTGCAGAATCAGCGTTTTACGAACAGGATATTGGCTGTGAATTTTTCGACATACATAGTCATGATAGGGCTAGGTCGTTCTTAACTTTGGGAATATACGACAGTGAACTTTCTCAGAATGACGGTTACACCCATTCCATATATGAACAAACAGTGGATAGGTTAGACCGCTTCCACTCACTTCCCTCGCTGAGAAACATTGAGAAGAGTGACCAGCCACTACTGCTTGAAGACTGCGCCAAAATAGCCACTAAACAGAACGCTAATGACGAAGCAGACACAAGTGGGGTGGTTACTACAGAGGAATCAACTAGTACTGAACCTGGAGGCAAAGATAATTCACAAGACATGACTAATTGTGACATCGAAACGAAAGGATTAACGAAGCCAAATGATTAGGAGTATTTTTCGTAATCCCAAATTTCTTCTTAGAGCATTAAACAAAAACAAGCAAGTGAAATTATTTTTGGCATTGAAATGTGAAACTGTAAAGCCTCATCATCTTATACTTTCTGCTTAGATCCTATTTGTTATACCTGGACAGCAAAATCATGCCTGCTTTTCCTCAACTGGCCCCTTGCTTTATAATTGTAATAGGAGATATTTCACAACTTTTGATTACACAATACAATACAATGCAATACAATATATGATGACGAATTTTGTTTATCTCTTTTTGAATTGAGTAAAATAAAAAAGTCATAGTCAGATAATACAATTGCTTTCACTAACTTTCATTCACTATCTATCATAGAGTGTACAGATAATCAATCCAAAAAATAACGGGATTATAAGCAGTTTATAAAGCAGAGTGATAATCAGTTATTCATAAACACAAGGAATAACAAAAAGTTTTAAGTACGAATGGAAATACTATATTGTCGGCGTATACACATATATTATACAGACTTATAAATATTCCGATAATGCAACAATTTATCGATAGCTCAACTACTGTAGAGACTTATATCGCCATACTTTTCATCTTGGTCAAGCGACTAATACATCAGAAGTTGATGATGTACACCTGATAGCAATCAGTCCACAACATACATCGCTCAAATTCTTTCTTTGACCCGTTTATTTATTTTTTTGTCTTGTTGGGATTTGTTCTCTTTTAGCACGTTTTAATGCGAACACCGCACTTTGCAGATTTTTTTTAGTTTTTTTATTATTTTATTGAAAAAGTACTTTCCCAACAGATATATATTTCGGGTTAGTAGAACGAGCGCAACACACGCACTCACACACACAAAATACAGGTGACATCAAACTTTCTGACGAATAATCTCTCGATTGGGATAAAAAAACATGACGAATAGTAAGTACTCTACAAGCAACTGAACTAACGGCAAACTGCTACAAATCAGAACATGTATGAAGTGAAAAAATACAAATGTTACTATTTCGTAATTGAATTCACTGAATAAATGCTTCACGGGGAATTGTTCCTGATGAGTTCATAGCTTCAAAAGCTTTGAAAGCAGCATTCACATCCCATCCGAATTCTTCTAAGCACTGTTTCGAAAAAGATATGTTCATGCCAGTACGTTGACTGAATTCAGTTAGAATAGGTTCTCTAAGATCAGGTATAGATAAATTAACATTTAGCGCAGGTTGTTGTGTGGGAGTTGGATTCACTTTTCCAGATTTTGTAGCCATTTCAGTTATATATTTCTAGAGTGAGAATGATTAAGAATGTTAGCATTAAATTATTTGTAAAAGTAGAAAATGAGTATAAAAATCAAATGACGTTCATTAACATTGAGGGGAAAAGTAAATAATTCAACTGAATTAAATAAGCTATCCGAATCTAATTTTGATGCTTTCCTCCTCAAATGTCAAATGCAGTGCATAATTTAACGATTAATTTTGTTCATACTGAATAACAGAAAGCGTATTACCAACTACATTTCAGACTGTAGAGAATACGCAACATTCTAAACATAAGCGTTTGATATTCTGGTAATTGGTTGTGAAGCTCTCTTCTCTGTCAGTGTTACACACTACGCTTTCTCGTGGAGGAATAGCAGTCTTTGATAGAGAAAACATTACGATTTCAGGAATCAGTTTTCTTAACAGTGCTTGTGAACGTTACCAGCTTTCTGTAGTAGGATGTAAATAACAAAATTTTGTAAGACTCGCTAAACTTCATCTCTGGAAGAAATTCGATGTGGGAGTGGGTCGAGTGTAAGTGATTCGTTTACGTATTATTGCATCTATCATACCAGTCAAGCAAAAGAAAACTGCTTTGAAATCTTACCGTATGACTTGCTAGATATATTTAACCGATAGATTTTGATCAGTGGGACAAAATTCATTGCAATGAATCATAGATTCGCTAAAAGTTTTTTCACGTATGTTAGACTAAGTGGAAGCAATGATATCGGAAATGAATAGTACTTACTTTACACAGAGAAGTACTTGGGTTTGATATAATAAAATCGTCCTGTATGACATGGCCACCAGGGGCAGCTAATATCATGGTTCGTGTGAAACAACGTAGTATTTTCCGAACAGACTTTTCAGGAGTTGAAGTCATAGTAGACGAAGCAATTGGCGCGATTTCATAAAATACGCCACCAAAGGTGAACAACATTTGATTTTCCTGTACAAATTGCAAAAAGCCAAAATGATAACATATAGAGAGATGTAAATGTTTTCAAAATCTATCACAAAGCTAACTATCTGTCCAACGGAAAACAATACAGATCATAATGAGAGAAAAAGGATAGCATAACAAAAAGTGATAAAAATCAGATGACTAATCGAATCCAAAAGGATCAACTTAGTCACACCGGAGATTAATACAGATCATTTTATTTTCTATGGAGAAGCAGTCCCTATTTTGACATTTAAAAAGCAAAAGGATTGAGAGAAAAAAAATTTACTTTCCAATTAGATTCTCATATTTGGCTCGACCGCCGCCCAATAGTAGCAACAGCGGGAGCAGAATTACTGGTGGACATCAAACCTCTGATGAAAGCAGAAACCCTGAAGGCAATCAAGGTGCTAAATAATGGAAAAGCAACAGGACCGAAAGGAATCCCAGCAGAGGTGTTGAAAATGGACCCAGAGACATCAGCGAACTTGATGACACCACTACTGGAGGTGTGGTGTGGAAAGAGGGTCAAGTATTCGAGGATTGGAAGAAAAACTACTTATTCAAACTGCCAAAGAGAGGAGACTTAAGTCAGTGCAAGAAGTGGCGCGGAATTATGCTCCTGTCCATCCCAAGCAAAATACTAAGTCGCATCATCCTGGGGAGAATCAAGCACACTCTGGATGAAAAACTTTAACTGGAACAGGCTGGATTCAGGAGGAACAAGTCATGCATCGATAAAATCGCAACACCAAGGATCATCATTGAACAGAGCCTGGAATGGCAGTCAGCTCTCTACGCAAACTTCATTGACTTTGAAAAAGCCATCGAGAAGTGATTTGGCAACTACTTCGCTACTACGGGGTGCCGCCGACATTTATACATCTTATCAAACAGCTGTACGACAATGCTGCATGCCAAGTAATCCACAACGGGAAACTCACGGAATCATTCGAGGTGAGGACGGGAGTAAAACAAGACTGGTTGCTTACTATCTCTAATGATTTTCCTGATTGTGGTAGACTACATAATGCGACAGACAGACAGACAGTAGGCAACAAGGAGACAGGCATAAAATGGATCCGCACAAAAACTTGGAGGATCTGGAAGATATGCAAGTGGAAAGAAACAAGTCGGGAGAAGAAGCGTCAAAGATATGCCTTTAGGTGAACATAGAGAAAAAAGAAGTGATGAAGATTCCTGGCCAACAGCAACAACAACAGACAAAAATCAGAATAAATGGGAGGAGTCCGAAAGAAGGAACCTTCTTCACCTACCTCGTTTCAACCACAGGTGGATGAAACTGATGAGGATATCTAAGCAAGGATTGGTAAGGCAAGGCAAACTTTTATTACTCTCAAGTCTGTGTGGTAGTCAACAGCACTCAGCATCAAAAATAAGATCCAGATTTTCAACTTCAATGTGAAGTCAGTGCTACTATACGGATCAGAGACCTGGCGCGTCGTGAAGAGCACTTCGAACAAACTACAGACCTTCATCAACAGCTGTCTTCACTCAAGATCAGATGGCCAGTAAAGATCGGCAACAGGAAGGGATCTCTGTGACCGAACCAACCCAGCAGGAATCAACTGTGCAACAAATATGCCGGAAGAAATCGAGGTAGATTAGCCATACTCTGGGAAGATCACCAAGTAACATCACACGCCAGGCAATCGCTCCAGTGGAACCCGAATGGGAAGCGGAGAGTTGGTTGTCAGCGTGAGGGTGACATGGAGGAGATCATGTGAAGAGGAGGTGAAAGCATGTGGGCAGATGTGGAGCCAGGTAAAAGCGTTGGCGGAGAACCGAACGCAATGGAGACGTGCGGCTGAAACCCTATGTTTCTCTAGGAACTAAAGGAAACAATAATAATAATAGTAATAATATATGCAGCATTTTTATTACAATACACAACAATTAAGCAATTAAGTGTTTATTGAATTAAATTTTTGATTTTCCCGTCGATTGATTGGACCGAAGTGCTCGGTCTCAGGTTGACATGTCGGCTTCTTGGGCAGATGCTTCGACGATGTCTGGGATTTGATTTGTATGCAATTGGTGGATGGTGGCTAGCAGTGGAATCCAGGATGCGCATTTCGTCCTATTTGGGACCCGTTGCACAAGAGGTGGCTCTCGTGGCCCGAGTGGTCTAGTGGATAACGCTTCGGCATTTGAAACTATGGGCACTGGGTTCGAGCCTCGGTGGGAACATCATCACTCACCGAGAAATGCAGGTACATCCAGCTGACGAGTCCAAAATAGGACGAAATGCGCATCCTGGATTCCACTGCTAGCCACCATCCACCAATTGTATACAAATCAAGTGTTAACTTCACATAAATAACTTGTAGATTTGTATTTTAAAGGGGCCATATAATATGCGAGCATTTTTGAAACATTTCTTCTTGATAAATTAAGGGGAATCAGAACTTACAGAATGAAATGCAACATCAACAGATAAGGATTCTAGTTGATGTTCTGTGGCTGGTAATTCATCCAAAAAGGAAGCGATTGCCAAACTGCCACGAACAACCATATCACGTCGTCTGCATTCGTCTCGACAACGAAGTAGATTGCGACTCCGCGTGAAGTAAGGTTGTGTTAGCCGAGATGTTGTTAAATACGCTACGGTTGGTTGACCCGACTCATTCTCCACCTCTATACGTGCAGTAAATGATACATTTTGTGTACTGGGAATACGAGATTCAGGAACCGCGGAGAAAGCAAGTTGAGATAGGCTTGTATAGTAAGGTAACAAGTTCTCTCCCCGAGGTTGGGTGTCATAGCGGTTGAGATAACTAATTTTAAAATAAATAAAAAGTTACAGTTAATGAAGGTCAGTTAGAATGAATTTACGCTAGAAACTTCGCACTACATATACTTGCGATTAGAAGTTGCCAGATATGTGCGATACTTCGTAAGTGAAAGGAAGTATGTATTAAGTAAAGCTGTTAGAGTAATATTTTTGACGGAGAAGTTAAAAAATAACAATACAGTTCTGAGACGTTAGTCTCAATACTGAAACCCAGTGCTATCCTATGTTGTAAAGCAAATAAAAACTAAAGGTTCTCACACAAACACAAGTGATTTGATGAGTTTTTTATCAATATGTTATGTAGAATGGCAACTAAAAGACACAACAAACATTGAATGTAAGTATTGGGCAAACATGACCCATCAAATTATGGGATAAGGAGTAATTTTTGCGCTTAAGAAATATATCGGGCGCCTGAAATACTGTATTAAACCATACCGAACGCTAAGGTGTCACAACTACAAAAGATGCTCACTTTCATGAGCACTGAGAATAGTGAATGTAATATGATCGATAGAACGAGATCAAAACTGAAAAAATACCAACGAACCACTTGTTTTATTGACGCATAACTGCCAATCGCCTTGGTGAGAAAATACAGAGAGAATCAAGTAATAACACAGATAAAGTGTATCAGTTAAGCCTCTCAATGAAATATGTGTAATGTATATTTTGTTGTCCAGTGAGAGTGATATCATTTCGGTAATAAGCATTTTTGCATTATTCTGGGTTAAGTGGTTACTTGTGCCTAGGCTTTTACATCCGCAATAAATTTTGTTGCACTATTCTGATACTAAACTACACGTTTCCCGACCGAAAGCTGCTACCTTGACATGGTGGTCGGGCTTGAACACCGCAATGACCCAACAAGCTATGCTGGCGAGAGCCATAGAAACACCCCAGGTAGCCTTTTAAAGCTACGTCGCCAACGTCATATAGGAGCTTTTAACGTCAGGATCCTCTGCCAAATCGGACAACAGATATCACTAGCAAGAACTCTGGAGTCTAGAGCCATGGATGGATGTTGTGTTTCGGAGACACGCATACATGACCCGAGTGTGTTCATTCATTTAACCTCACCCGGTCAACAAGGTGAATCTGCAAAATTCACTTTAAGGGTGTCAGGAGACCCCCTCCCCCCAGCTAACTCGCGAGGACTCGCAAGTGCAGGGATAGCACTGAGTGTTAGGGCAGAAAAATCACTTCTCGACTGGATCCTAGTAGATAGTCGTATGTGTGCGGTCCGTCTGAATGGGTCCGTTAGAATAAGGAAAGACGGCGCTACTCGTCGTTGCCTTTTCGTAGTCTCCACTTACGCCCCAACAGACTGCAGTTCGGATGAACTAAAAGATGGCTTATACCTGAAACTGTCTAATTTGCTGCAAAAAGCGAAACGTTCAGATAGTTGTTTTAGCAGGCGACTTCAATGCCCAAGTGGGGAAGTTGTGCCAGACTAAGAAGTATTTAGGTGGTACGTTTGGAGTTCCCTGCCGACGAACCGACAACGGTGATAGTCTTCTTTGTTCAGATAACCATCTGTTCCTAGTCAGCACTAACACCGACTCCTAGATTAGAAATAGGAAGTGAAGTAGTAGAGCACGTTGACCGCTTCACTTACTTGGGAAGTACCATCAACCCCAACGGGTTGACCGCCGACAAAATCTCAGCACGGATACAGAGGGCTAGTTTCGCATATGCCAGTTTACGCCATCTCTGGCGTAGACATGATATCCGAGTATCGACCAAAGGGCGGGTGTACTACTCATCAATCCGCTCCGTACTCCTTTATGGCCAGCTGTGACACATGGCCATTGAGAATGGAAGACATGAAACGATTAGCTATCTATGATCATAGGTGCCTGCGTTCTATTTCCCGAGTGAAGTGGCATGATAAGGGGAGCAATATTGAGGTTAGGCATCGGTCGAGTTCTAGGTAAGCAGAGGAAATCAATCGACGAGGCTGTGAAATTACATCGACTGAGATGATTAGGACATGTGTTGCGCATGCCTAGTCATCGCCTTCCTCAACGGGCAATGTTAGGTGATATATGGTCAGGCTGGAAATAAACCAGCGGAGGTCAAACAAAAACATAGCACCAGTCAATGAAATCTACAACAGTTAGTTTAAGCTAGCCACGTAGGAAGGTGTAGACTTCCTAACTGGTTGGGATCATCGGGACGGTAAAAATCTATGGTTGGAAACAATTGGTGATATGGCTCAAAATCGTTCTCAATGCACAGCGCAGATGCATTCACTCCTTGTGACTTATGATTTCCAACGAAACTGTTTTGTTCTTCGTTATTACTATTCCTTTGTCTCACAATTCTGTTTACTGTCTCTATTATGCATTTCTTCTACCTTCTTCTCTTGCTTTGTGTGCTACATGGAGTGGCGACTTGAACTACTGCACATATGTGCAAAGTTCTATGTCGAAAACAGACAGACAGACAAACTACACGCTTAAAAGCAAGACTTAGTTTGAATCGGTCAAATCATTACTTAGACGTGAGAATTCTATGATCAGTAGGTAATTTTTAACCATAAAATCAACAGTAAAAGGAAAAACTCACAGTTTCAGAAAACTTAACAAAGCTGTTTTAACTTCAACACTTGGGAAATAACCCAGTACGGACTGAGGCAGCGGTTTGGGTTGTGGCTGTTTGGTTGAATCAGAACCTTGCTCAATTGCGAACTGTACGGTCTGTGGTAAATCTTGTCCATTCTGAAATAGTAAAACACGGGTGAAGGACAGTTGCACTTTAGTAGCTTGACAGCACAATAATACCAGCATTTAGAAATATCAAATTTACTCAAGATAATGAGAGTTAGGTGAATTAAGGGTTTGAAGTATTTATAAAGAGTGATATTTATTTATTCAAACGCATAAAAACTTGGTACAATATGGCACCGAGAAGGATGCGCCACACAATTATAAGAAAACAACATAGATCAAAAGAAAAAAAGAAGGAAAAGAAAAAAGTATAAGTAGAGAACAGATAAGGAACTTTATCTGGAAGGAAAACAGTCTCGCTTAACAAGTTCAAACAGTATTTGTTAACTGTCATCGGGAAGGGAGGAAAGAAGGAAATTGCAACACGTTCGCCATTGATTACGATTCTTGGTCATATCCGATAGCGTTTCGAGCCATCGATTTGAGCCTTCTCTCGGACCCCAACCAGGGAGTCGTGACACACCAACCGATGCTAATCTAGCACAAAAATCCTTCATCCCACGACGCCACGTCATGGACTGACCACCTCTCCGCCTTTTCCATCCCGTCCCAGGGCTAGCGAACAGAGACCTGTACGGAAGCCTCTGGGATGACATTCGCAGAACATGTCCAAGCCACCGGAACCGGTGTTTCCAGATGACGACACTCAATGAATGGTGATCTCCACTGTGCTAAAACACACGCCGCCGAACCTCAGAATTACTCACGCGATGATGCCATCCATCGAACGCAAGCAATCCTGCGGAGACAGCGATGATCGAACACGCAGAGTCGCTGCACATCCTCAGCTCGGAGAGACCAGGTTTCACAGGCGTAGAGCAAGGCAGCTCGGACCGAAGCATTATATACCCGACCTTTGACACCCAGGCTAACATCGCGACGGCGCCAGAGGTGGCTCAAGTTGATGTATGCTACCCTAGTCTTCATTATACGGTTGGAAATCTCATCCGTCACTCCTCCGCCAGCACTCACACAACTACCAATATACACAAACTTATCAACAACTTCAAGCGGTTCACCGGGAACAGTGAGTGCAGGTACAGACTCCTGCCAATCTTGTAACAGTACTTTGCACTTACACTGCGCAAAGCACATACCATACTTACAGACACTGATCGCCAACTGATTAAGTGCGATTTAGGCAGCCTGCAAGCCATCGCACAGTAAGACGATACCGTCTGCATACTCGAGTGATAACGAAGGCAGTAAGGATTTTAAATCAGCTCTCAACGGAGAAATGACACATGTTTAGACTTTTTATTTTTACGACTGATACAACTGTACCTAACTGTCTCATTTATACGGCTTTAGCCAGTATATATTTCTCCTTAGTGCATTTCTTGCATACTATCTATTGAGCTTTTTGATTTAGCGAGATGCAACGTGAAGCGTTGAATGCCCTTATGTCGTAACAATAGGACTAGCTTGTGACAAATGCTGAGAATTCCATTCTGTATTATAAGTACTGTTTTCGGAATAAAGTCGATTATTATCATTATTAAAAATTCAAAATATGAAAGTTTACGTAGTGAATTATGACAGAGGGAGTGGTGTTTATCAAAATGCCACTATTCCTAATTAACATATCACCACAAAGATGTTGGCTAGGTGCAAAAAATGTAGACTAATGAGCTGGATAGTTCCATGAGGGATTAAAATATAAAAAAAACAAGCAGTTTGCCAAGGAAAGATGTAATTTTCAAGTAGTGAATATATATTACATAGTATAGTATGAATTTATAAATAACTTGATAAACTTCGTATGAGAATTTTGTACAAGAATTACACAATAGTTATAACTCACCAAGCGTTTGACAGTCGGCAAAATCTTTTGCAGTTTACTAGGTTGATACAGAGTGATTTCGGGGAACGAAATCCCAGGATGGAGAATGAAACGAATGAAATTAGGTAGTTCTTTGAAAAGGAAAAGCTGTGAGATGCATATTAGTAAACTAAAAGTTGACTAAAATTATTAATCATCTAACCGCATAAATACACCGGTATCTTGAATATAAATCACCCCAAATGACAATGTTTACTGCTAACCTAGAAAGACAGTACGTAAAAGATAATTTGCTAAATCACAGTTCACAATTAACTTGCTGTTTTTCAGGTTTTCCCTATTATTACTGAATTGAATTTTTGATTTTCCCGTCGATTGTTTGGACCGAAGTGCTCGGCTGAAACTATGGCTACTGGGTTCGAGCCTCGGTGGGAACGTCATCACTCACCGAGAAATGCAGGTACATCCAGCTGACGAGTCCCAAATAGGACGAAATGCGCATCTTGGATTCCACTGCTAGCCACCATCCACTAATTTTACCTATTATCCCTATTCGAATAACTGTGTGGTCATGCCACCGTTCATTATCATTTTATCACAAACCGCTCCGACTTGTCGGACGTTTGTCTTGATATAAACTTTGATTACTACTGCTGTGTTATACTTGATTCTTCGGACTATGATTATCCCAGGTATTATGACTAATACTACTTGATGCGAACTGAAGCCCCTCAAAGAGAAGCCCGAGAAGTAACTGACTTCCTTTGCAGTAAAGTCTCATTGTTGAAATTGTTTATTCTGAGGTAATTTCAGAAAGTGATCAGATAATACACATGTTCTACGCTGCCCTAAAATAACAGCTTATTCTAAAATGGTGAAAACAATGAGATTTATTTCTATTGACAAGAAAAAAAACCCAAAACTTATCAACAGATAATGTACAAAATTAGACATCCAGTTTTTGGAAGATGTGAGCACCATATGCTGCGAGATTGACTACCAGTCGGGATGGAGGCCAAGGATCGCAGAAAAATGGATAACAGTGTACACTCACGCTGCAAACACCCGGTCGTTTGGATGGAATCTGGACGAGAGTGGAGTTTCAGTTAGATCAAGTTCGACTAGACCAACAATATTTCGAAGACCGGAAAGAATCGGTATTCCACTTAAAGGATTCGAACTGAGGTCTATGCGCTCAATTGATACAGGAGTGCATCCAGCACTTGTTGAAGACAAGGGAGAGAAAGCATTCAAATGGGTCAGGCGGTTGCTTGACAAATTGAGTACTGAGAGCTTGAGAAAATAAAAAAGGAATTTATTAAATATTTGTTGTAATACAACTAAATCCGCTGACTAGCATCGCTGACATCGCTATGTATGCACACAAAATGAAAAAGCCACTTGTTCCACTCGTTCGTTACACATAAGGAAGCATAAATAGAAATTTGATCTCCATTATAAGTGAGTCAAGTTGACCCCCCAAGGAAATGAGTTTCTTGGTTATGTGATTTCATATCGAACATTCCGCTTAGGCGCTTAATTATGATGGATACCTACATTGGTTTTGCTAAATTAGAATATAATTTGAATCGTCGTCCTTCTGAAACCAGTTACAAGAAATGAAGAGAGAAAACTATTACCGACCTGAAAAATATTAAAACAGTTTGCTAGGATTTTACAGTCTACATTAACGCTGTTGCATGGCATGCATCAGTAACTATTACTGTTGTCTAGGCAAAAAAAATTAAATGCACGACCCAGAATTTTATAAATTCAAAGTTTTTTCTGAACAAAAATATTTACCTGTGCTTGGTTTTGTTTCAAAATAGCAATTAGAGCATGGACAACGGCTTGTTTGTTTAGAGGCAAATACAGACCTCGACTAAGGAGATCAGGATCTGTATGTAAAGAAGACAGATCTAAAGTGCGTGTGTTTGGCTGATAGCGTTGCACGAAACACTGTTTTAACGCTTCTATCCAAGTTTCTGGTAGAGGTGTACTGTTTGTTGATTCCGAGCTTGACTTGCTCTCTGAGGTGGAAGGAACTCGAGGTTCTGGGACCATTGTAATGTCGGTAACCAACTGTGAGCCTTGAATTGAACCACGTGCGCCCTGTAGGGATTTGCGGTAGTTGGGGACCTGAAAAACAGTGTATATTTTAAGCATAAAACAATGTTTATACCCGGTCAATATTTTAGTATTGCTTGATAATAACTCAGTCCTCTTGTAGTCAACGAATGTAAATATTTAGAATCAATGGCTATCAAAACTTGGTACTTAACTCTACCAGAATGAAACCACTAGACGCATATTAGTTAAAAACAAATCATCCTGGGAACTGTAAAACCAGTCACACTAAGTGCAATAACAGAGCAACAACGCAGAAAGAACAAAAATGTAATAAGACGTGAAAATTTGTATTATAGGCTACGAATAGCATTAAAGGTGGCTTAGGTAATCAGCGGATTAATTTATACATTGCGTACCTAACACATAAGCTGGAGTCACGCCACACTTGAACAAACCTATGTACTGAGAATGGTAGCAATATAGGTCAAAGCTATTACTGCAAGCATTGCGTATACTCAAATTCAAGTATACAGATCAATGCTAATAAAGTGTGACGGATCATTTTACGTCATGAACCATATAAGCTTAAAAATTTTAAAATTTTCAGCGGTGCAAACTACAAATATAGTTGACTTAATAAACTGCTGTAATACTCTGACCTGGTTTCTCTATATCTTTTCTTTTCTATCGAGAGTTAACCGTTGACATAGACTGACATGAACATACTTTACGTGCGATAATCCATCTCAGTGAATGCACACACCTCATCGGCACACAGCATCAGCTATTATGACAACAATGATCCCCGTGGCTTTGTCAAACCCGTGCATGCAAGTACATAATCTTACTGAACATCACGTAAACTACTTCAAAGCTTATTTGTATCACTACTATTTGACAAAATGACTTAGGAGCACTAAATTATCTACCTGATTCACAAGTGACAGCAACCTAGATAAAATGGTAGATACAAAGACCCTGGCAAAAAACCAAAACCTTTACGTTTCTGTCATTTTGCAACCCGAATGTCTTACTAATAAGTAAAACATGTATCCTGTGTAACAGCACTGCCCTACTGTAGCGGTGGGTTTTCACGGATCTAAATATTTTAATACGATGGGTTTAGTGTTACGATCTGTATGTGACAGTAACCACACAAACCAGGACCCATTCGTTGTTCTAAATGACTGGCACGTGACACACATGCAAACGTTCATCCAAACTTGCAGAAAAAAGCTAACAGTACCCACACATCATTAATCTATAAAATCGAGTAGACATGTATCATTAATGTAAATTTATGAAGCTAGGAATCCAATATTTATCTTTCCCTAATGGGGTAGCGCTAAATTCTTGGTTTTTCGTTTTGCGATACTTTAAATTATGGCAGTTCCAACTACAGTACGTTTTCATCCTCTCAAAGACCCCAGTCCGGTAGTCAGCACTTGCAACTTCGCAACCTCACCGACTGATGAATTCTCCTAACACCCCACAGTTAACCTCAATATTGCTCATCAAAATCATACCACTTAGCATAGGAGATAAGATGCACACAACGCCCAACCCATAAACGACTGTTTTAATTTATATGCAAAGGACTACTGATTATTCTAAATATACTGATCAAGATAAATTCCTGCGTCTGTATCAGCTGACGAAAACACAGCTACCGATGAAATGTACGGCTTATTAATGTCCGACTGGAAGGCAGATGCGGTCATAGCAAGGTAGCAGAAATGGTTATTACATCCCGCTTTCATTTTCAACTTTTGCTCGATCTGATGAAAATTTATCCTTACTAAGCATGTAAATATATTTTGTGCGTCGTCTGTTCCGTATGTAACTACTGGTGAAGTCTACGAGTAATATATCAATACCATGAGACTTCTATCCTGTATAAAAATTAAATAACTTTGTCCTTCTGTGTACACGTGATCTTTGCCTGGTTTGATTTTTTTCGACAGTTTGCACACCTTTGTTTAGTTACATGTTGGTTAGACAAATAAAGATATATAGAAATGTAACTTACCTCTTTCTGTCTAACTTTGGCATACGTTAGAAAATTTTTACCCTCCACACAAGTGTTGTAGAACCGCAGTTGAGTCCCGACAGCTGCAATGATTATTTGCTGAAGGTCGGTGGGCGAATGGTTAGCACCGTTGACAACAGTAATTCTGACCCACACCTCTCCTGCAGCCAAACCGCTGTTTTGAGAAGTGACCCCAGAAGTTCCCGACCCACTTACTAACTAAATACAAAATTTTACAAAATATAAATTTTACAAACACGATTAAATACTAAATATTAGGACATAAATATGTATGTGAATGACTAGTAGTATTATTTGTTTCCATACTGCCAACCGCAAAGCAACCTTCGTTGGCTTTTTGTTTAGTTGGAAAACAGATTAGGAGATCTACACCCAAAAAAATAATATAATTAATAAATCTCTTGAATGTGGCCAGTGAGTATAATGAACAATAAAATAATTCATAGGAAACCCTATTTAACAGTCATATATCTTCCATTAGCAAAAAAGGTCAGTAATGCACGCATAACCCAATGCATATTGATTGTGCTCATTCACAATACAGTTCGGCTTAACGAGAACCTGTCTGTCTGGTTTCAACATAGAACTTAACACAGATGTCCAGCAGTTCGAGTTGCCACAATCCATGTAACATACACAACAAGAAAAAAAGTAAGGAGAAATGCAAAATAGAGACAGTGAACAGACATATAAGGCAGAAAGAATAGTAACATTGAAGAATCGTATAGTTGGATTGGGTATTACAAGTCACAAGCAGTGGTTGCATCTGCGCCACTGAAAACGATTTTGAGCCATATCACCGATTTTCTGCATTCATTGGGGTTTATCATCACAAGGACCCCAACCAGGAAGTCTACATTTTCCTACAAAGCCTAAACTGTTTTGGATTTCATTAACTGATGAAGCCACCACTAACTCTCTCTTCCAACCTGATCAATTCTATTTCAGCTAACATCGCCCGTCGAGGAAGGCGACGGCTAGGCATGCGTAACACATGTCCTAACCACCCCAGTCGATGTAACTTCAGTCTTGTTTATTGATTTCGCCTTTTTACCTACCACTCGACGGAAGCCTAATCTCAATATTGCTCGCCCTAGTATACCACTTCACGCGAGGAAGAGAACGCAAGCAACTATTACCAAAGACAGCTAGCTTTGTCATATCATCCAGTTTTAATGACCAGGTCTCGCTCACAGCCATAGAGGAGGACGGAGAAGACCGCTGACCAGTTCACACACCCTTTGGTCGATAGTCAACCGGATATCACGTCTACGCCAGAGGCGGCGTTAACTGGCATATGCGAAACTAGCTTTCTGTATCCGTGCTGAGATTTTGTCGGCGGTCAACCCGTTGGGGCTGATGCAACTCCCTGAATAGCTGAAGTGGTCAACACACTCAGCCACCACTTCACTACCTATCTTTAAGCTAGGAATTAGTCATTGTCGTTCAGTCATCATCTTACATTTGACAGCAGGAGCGAATCGCACACCAAATATTCGAAGACTGATGGTCAAGGTGTTGGGAGGACTGCATTTTGTTGGGGTCTTCACTTAGAAGCAGGACTATATCACCTGCATATTCTAAGTCAACGAGATTATTCCATAATGTTAACAAGTCAATCCCTGATTTGCTGAAGTCAGTCGGGGTCCATTAGAACATCTATGATGGAATTTAACAGATGTACGAGGACCTAGTTTGTATACAGCCTCAGAGAACAAGTACAAATGCGATCCACAGAGCTTCATAAAGTTTTAAATTAGGCTTTAATATTAAGAACTGTTAAGCAAGGTAGAAGCCTACTGAACTAATTACAAAAGTACGTATCACACATGCAATTCAAAGACCACTTTTTAAAATCCACCATAAACTGAGCATCTTTTAGAGGACTTACGTTCATACTCACAGCACGTCTGATCATTTCCATATTGTTACTGGGAGCCATGGATTTACGGCTACCAGACTTTCCTGCATATTCACGACGATGTAAATACGCCTCAGTGGTTTCAGCATGACGACCATCCCCGGCATTTACTTGTATCAAGAGATTACAAGAAAGGTCAGCTTAGAGACACTATCAACTATAGACAAATCGATCAAAAAGTATAACAACGAATATGACTAATTAACCAAAAATCACAAACACGCCATCACTGTGACTGATTTCATGTTCCCTAAGAGTCAATTACGGTTACCTTAGATTCTAAAAAGATAATTTCGCAAACGGGAGCGTCGATTTTATCACCTCTCGAATTTCCAACTAAAAATTACTTGAAAGTTGCACCTGCTACATATTATAGTCCCACAATAGTTAGAAGTCTCAAAGATCTTTCTTTAATAAAAACGCAGTTAATCAGTGGCGGCTTGCTTAACTGGACTAGAGAATACCTCACAGGTAGTATAGTTCGGACTGACTCGAAACTCTCATTCTGAGTAACGACACGTTGTGTATTGCCATACGGCCCCGTATTCGGATCCCTCTCGCGTATCAACGAATTACCTGCGTTCACCAAATCTCCAGTAGTTCTCCACACCGATAGTCTAAAATTCTGGAAAGAGCTCAAGGGTGATAAATGGCATGCTCATGCTCCAAGGAAATCTCAAAAGAACCGTTTGGCTGATCCAAAGAATGGATTCGAAGTGCAAAACCGTCAGCATTAGGGACGCAAGTCCATACGAACTAGAGGGAATAAAACTTCCATTAGTTCAGACTCATGGATCTAAGTGTCTTAGTATATCAGAATCTAAAAACTACAGTACTGTCACGACTTGAAGTCTTACATCAGTGCGGGCAAAATGCACAACGTCTACTAGAATCCACAGTGATCTTCACGGCTTTATATACATCTCTGGGGGGGGGTCAAAACTGAGGAACTACATCCAGCCATTTTCAAGGGGATTCATCAATTATGGAAAGCACCCAAAGACAGGCAACATTCAACTCTCGGTATGACTGTCATACAAGGGAACATTTAACAGTTAGAATCTCTTCTCCCTAATACACATTTGGTGGAGACCTAGTCATGTTTAAAATTCAAAGAGATGATTACGAACCGGATCTATCTTCTTTTTCTTTCAAACGAAGTCGAAACATTCTAGACGAAAGCCAAGAATGAACTAAATCGCTGTAGAGTCACATAGTCTTAGGACTGACTCCAAGAAAAGGTGAAGTCAGTATCCTCAACTGACTCGTTCAAGAAGGGTCCAGACAAGAACACAAACCGACTAGAAAGGGATTACAGACTTGGAGTCTACAAATATACCCTGGACTGCTTCGTTAACGGCTACGCACTCTTTGGTTGAGTCTCAAAAATATACATTTAATAATTATTACCATTAACATTAACACAGGGACATCCTGTTGACACCATAGCAGTTTATAAGAAATCAATCGCTAGTCATCAATTCACAACCAATTACATGAAAATGCATAAATAGGCCTTTTTGAATAAAAAACGGTAGACCTCTTCGGTTTGGAGTAGTGTCGCATTCGTCTTCAACTGCGAGAAGTGGACATAAGTCCAATTCTGAAGTCCGTGCAGATGTTAACCAAACTGTTGGTCCTGCGACACATTGCCAAGTCTCAAACCACAGAATATGGCGAAGCTTGACACAATCATACTTACAAATTCTGTATCTGTAACGGCAAGGTCTAGCAGGCTGCCTAAAGTGGTGCATACGTAATTCACTCCGAGAGCTCGAGATAGGATAGCGGCACAAATGGCTTATGGAGAGGCTGAGCACTTCAAGGTCACTTATGCACGCTGTGATTGGTAGATTTTCCCTTGCGTAAACGTTGCGGCTAATACGTGCCTTACGTTACTGAAGCGGGCTTTGAAATAGCAATAATAAAAGCGGATAGACATTATATTTTTTAGCTTAAGGGACCAAGTTAACATGCTTATAAATTTCACAGATGTGAGAAGCATTAGATCCACTTACAAGGAGAATACTACTGGGTAACTTGATCAAAGAAATATAAAGTTTGAGGATTTTATCTCTTTCAGTTAATTGTAACGGATGGATAAGAGTCACGTGTATAATATTTGCTTTTTATAGAAGAGAAAATGTGACAGGTGGTTTGGAAGTTACACAATTCCTGAAATATATCGTGGAATATATGGATGAGTAATCTATAGAATTTCACCAACTCTGTGGTTGTTCCTTGCTTTGTTCACATATTCAGTGTTGCTAAGATTAAGAATTGTTCACAAGAGGTAAGATTAATTTACCTAATATGTATACATCCTCAGAATTTTCTCAATATGGCTGAAGGCATTCGAAGGAATACAATCTCAATCTCCGCTTGAAAAGTTCACATCTAGTTTCTGCGAACGGATCTGGTGGTGACGTAAACTGCAAAGACTGGTTCAACACCACTAACAACGGAGGCAAACGGATACAAATGTTGTGGATAGAGTGTTTGGTGGACTTAATGATGACTATGATGCAGCTACAAATAAACTCTACAACTGTGATTTTTTCACTGGATTGCTATTAACTCTCTTTAGTGTAGATATGTACTCTTTCATTCTGAGTCATTTTTAACTTGATTGATTATTGTTTCCTTACAAATATATGCATTTACGTCGACTAACTTTGTCTCTTTCACTTATCATTTTGACGACATTGCAGAGCTAGCGAGAATATGGTAGGCAACGTATTAATACTTATGTGAAATGCGTCAGTCTTAAAATATTACTATTTCCTCAATGCATCATCAAGCCTTGCGTAAAGTGTTTCAGTTGCGTATAACATTGGTTTTCGCGATTGTTAAGAAAGTAGCCGTCAAACATGTTTTCGCACTGTAATAACAAAACATAACCTAGCAAATATGGGTTCTATACGTACACGACTTGTAGTGGTAGTCTAGGCACTTCATGCGCACTATGCAACGTATATTCTATTTATCACGAATAGTCTACTATTCTTATGTTGCTTTTAACACCACTACCTCAAAGGAAATCATTGCGTTATAAAGAGATAACTACATTACTCTTCTTGTGCTGTCATTTCGTATCAATAGGCTCTTACATGATCACATTAACACTCAGACTCGTGCATTAGTTGATCACGTCACTAAATTTCATTGATTATTTTGTTATCATAAAATACTGGAACGCACTAGATAGACTTTTGTTGTGCATATCGCCTGTTTAAGGTTTACTAGCGAAAGCGATAACAGTACCCCCATTTTGTCTACATTCAACCAGATGTAAATATGGCATTTTACCAATATTATGTCTTCTACACTAGCATCAATTTGCAACTCGACAAACAGTAACTATTATCAGTGTACGAATAAGGTGCAAAGTTTTTTAAAACAATATTTATTTCGACAAATACATTCATAATATCACAAATATTTCATCAATTACACAAATATTATCCTTTATAAGCCCACTGGAATGTCTAAATGTATTGAGTGATTGCAGAATTGAAGACCATAACCTAGAAATTAAAAATGACAAAAATTCAGTCAGGAAATGATGGGCTAAATAAACAACTTGAGACACAGTACTTACTAGTTAAATGACTGCTTATTCACCGTTATCTGACGAAATTACCAATTCAGTTTCCTTTATTACCGTGAAATTTAGTAAACATAATGAAATCATAATTACCTAGATATTTAACTCTCTCCTAATCATTTACGTGAAGTACACTGGAACAATTGGAGTTATTTTGCATTTTATATCATAATTGACATTTTCCAACAAATTCTGACATTTCTTATGCACCTCAGTATGTCAATTCCATAAAAAGAGAGCATTTCGTAAACACATTGCAAAAGACCACTTTTCTCACTTTTTACACGTTTCATCGTTAAAATACGATTTTTAAAGTGCATTTCTGTCGAAAAAACCAGTAAAAACAACGTAGAATAGCCCAAACACAACGCCACGATAACGCCTTAAAACTGCAGCAATCAGCTGATTTGTGGGGTGAGGATATACGGGTGAGGATATACGTTATAACGTGGTTATATTTCCCGCGACTCAGGTTTTTTCGTCTTTCATTGGCTAGAACAGTGGCGGTCAATTGGATATTTGATTTGTCCTTTGTAGGTCGTATCGTAAGAGGTTTTGTGTGGTTGTGTTATGCGCCGTTTGCAAGCGAATTTGACAAAGATAGATGTAATTTTTGACTATTTTAACATTGTTTCACTGTTTTTTTACACAGATACACTTCTCTTTTCGCTATAAACTCCCTGGAAACTGGTCAGGCATTATGGTTCCTATCAGTGACTACCATCCCGTGGGTGCCAATGCATTTCTTGAGTTGTGTTTTTAGGTACAGTATTTCCTACTTCGTGATTTCTCACTCACATAGTCTGGTATCCTGTGTTTCTTGCGACTTAGCTGTCACAAGCTGTTGTAATAATGTGCTTCGTTAACGAGCCCTTTTTCTAGAATTTCATCGCAGGTAATCAGCGCGAGCGCAAGCAGCACATATGTAGGAAGCTACAAAAGCATTAGAAGACTTTCAAAAGGCGTGAACTTCATATATTGCTAACAGTGACGAACTTTTCCGCATACCAGTATGTGGATACGTTCACACGCGTATAGGAAATCCACGAGTGGGACATTGTATTTTAGTGGGACAGTTTTGCGAGACTTTCATCTAGCCCGTATGTTTCGGTCTAGTATTTCTGTCCCTCAGACCACTAACAAAGTATTATCAAATGCATTCTTGTAGTATGATTCGATGGCACAATTACTGGCAGTTAATAATATTATTTATGCGTAATGTTCATGATATTTTCTGCACCATTAACGTGCTCCACATTTCAAAAACAGTGTAAATTAGGAAGACTAAACTTAGCTTATACTTAACTCAAATATGTTCATGCATGTTAATTATGTAAATGCTTAATTTATGTAAGTGAATTTAGTCTGTATCACTTTCAGGAATGATGGGTCGCAATGAGGTCAGTCAGTTCATTAAATCCAGTGGAAGCAGATGTAGCTGCATTCGGACAAAGGCATCCGAAAAACAGTGATGAGCGTTTTACGACTTATAATCGGATACATTTGCATAATCAGTTTTAGAAATTGATTCTGCATACAACAAGTGGAGGTAAGTTCACTCATTCATGTATAACCATGCAGATATTCTTTTTTACAGTTTGTGATACCGGATAGATTTGCATATGGGCGTAGAGTTCTGTTTGCTTGAATTTTGGAAGAATTCAAAGGTGACGCACTTCGGACACTGGACAGTTTCCGTCGAATAATGGGAGATACTTTCCAAACGAAGACTTTCATCTTTGACTGTGCTCAGATAATACATGTAAATAAACTTGTTTGCGTTGCAGTAAAATAAAATTTTCTATCTAATATTCTTGTGCCTTTGTATTTGTTCTGCATGCGGTGGGAATACGGCATGGTAGACCGGTACTCCCTAGGATATGAACGCGTTACTGTATATAGGTGTAATTCTGTAGGAACACTATCGATCGATATAAGTAGTGAATTATAAGTACTTAAGTCAAGCCCAAAAATCTGCCTAAAGTTACGCGATTACGTCTCCTAGTCATAGGGAAGTCTGTAGGGACCAAGTACAAAAATACTTCAGTATTTGAAAAATAAGAAATGAACTTAAGCACTGCAATTGAGTCGATTTCTTATAAGGTAAAGTGTATTCAAAAGTAGTTCATTACCATTATTTCACTTAAAGCATGATGTCGATTCATATGATTATGGGTGTTAACTTACAGTGTAAGGTGAAGTGTACACGAGACGAATAATTGAATAGGTTGAGCTGTAGCAATCGTAGTCACATTTACACTACACTGAAATATGCCACCAATTACTTCGTCGGGTCTCATTGATAAGTGATGCCTGCATCTAGTCATCATGACAAATATGGGTACACTCAGAGAGAACAAGAAAGGTCTGGTAAGCATGATGTTAAATATATTTAATGGAAAATAATAACAAGTAAATGTCTTTACGCAGTTGTTTGTCGTAATAATTGGGCCAATATCGAATCGCTGTGACCGGGTTGACTGACGTTACCGGATATCTGCAAATAAGTAAACAAAGTGTTTTTTTAAATTGCTGAAGCAAGAAAGGAGTAATTTTAAGTTGAACGCTTTGCATTTGCCTACCTTTGCTGAAAATGGTTCATTCTCCTTTCTCATTCTTCGTTCATGACAGCATTCTTCTGTGGTTTTTACTGTCACACATATTGTTCATCTTCTAAAGGATAGCAGCAAGCAAATAATAATAATTAGAACAGGTTATGATAAGATTTAGATTGTAAACCCTTAACAATGAACACTGTACATTTGGTTAAGTGCTATGTCCTTGGAATGTTGGTATACATTTGCAATGTTTAATGCAAACCATATCGGTGTAAGCATAGAAAATATGACGTTTTCCATGAAAATACAGCTTTGTTCAAACACTGGTGCTGTTGTGTTTCTAATAAAGGCAACTAGACTGTAAGCAAGCAACTAATAGGCACAAAGAGTAAGTCTCAGATTTAATAAAGGCATATCCAGTTAAGATAAAATGTAGTGTAATAGTGCACAAATGAAAAGACCATCGTGAAGTAGATAAGTGATATTTCAGTGACAGGTAAATTGAAATTTCTGCAACCTTACAATTCCTAAGGCAACCTGACGTGTAAGATCTCTCACAAATTTCTGTAGGGCCTGTGGGGTACCATGGATGGTTTGCCGTTAATCTGAGCTTTTGAAGGATGATTTACAAATCCAAAAGGTAATAACCATCGATACTGAGGTAGTATTTCCTAGCTGTTCGGCATTTTTTCCTTTGAGGCAGTTTCTTATCAACAGTTTGCAGTATTCATAGTGAGTCTATAGGAACCTTCATTGTATCATGATTTTCACCAAATATCCCTTAACTCACAGAAGCAGGCAGTAACCCCATACACTCAAGCA